AAAAAAAAAAAAAAAGTATGCGTTAAAGATGGGATGAGAAAATGGCCTTTCCCCTTGATGTTCCTGTGTATAAATATTGGAAAGGAGCTATTGCTGTGCAAATTATCCAGTACAAATTTACCTCATTTTAAGCCAATCCATTATATAAAAATCTGCTTGCACAAAGGATAATTATTTGATTTATAAAGAGATACACAGCGAGTCTGACTTACATAGCATTTCCTTGATAGTATATTCAAAATGGGTCGGTGGGGTGAAGACAAATCATCTGCCAAAAGTTTATATCAGATTTTCCCTACTCAAAGTCTATTTTTCTATTGAAAAAGAAAGATTATTGTTCCCTGTTGCCTGTGGTTACATTAATTAAGTTTATCAGATGATCACTAATGTGTTACTTCAAACTGCAGAATTAAGTCAAGAAATACTGTTGATCCCAAACAATTTCCCTGGAGGTTCAATGCCCAGCCTTTGTGTGGCTTCCTGCTGGCTGTGATGTGCCACAGAGCTCCTTGTTTCATGAACTGGGAGCCCTGGATGATGTCCTAAGTGGGGAAAGTTCTCTCCTTGAGCCATGGGAACAAGAAAATTATTTAGCATGCTTCACCCAGAGCAAGTATTAGTGTTGAAATGTCCCACTTCCTTGCCTGTGACTGTGCCAAAAATTCCCATTGTTATCCCACATAAGTCGTCTCCTTTGGCTTTCTTTATAAGAGAAGATGAGTGAGGCCTCTTGCTGAGTCCATGTTTAACACTCCACATCTTTTTGGCTGATTTTATGCCTCTGCTTCTTTTAATATATAAGCTGGATTCCATGTTCTTGGGCTTTGCTTGGCCCCTGCACTGGGTTGCCCTTGAGGAAGAGTCACAGAAAAAAACTCCTTGCAAGAAACAAGTCTGATAACTTGGCTGAGAAGAAGCCACAGTTAAGAGTATGCCCTGCTAGTCCTTGAGTTCCTAAAAGCGCTGTGGTGCTTTCCTAACTAGGGCATGGTGGTTTCTAGGTAGCCCATGCCTCTCTGGATCTTTGGTTCAGGCTGGAAGCAGCCTGCTCCTGAGGCAGGAGTGGGGCACTGTGAGCATGGGGTGAGAGGGACGGAGGCTAAAGCCCACATCCAGAGTGCACCCTCTCTCCCAGGGCACTTCAGCTCAGGCCAGATCTCTCTTCACTTCCCTCCTTCCTCTCCTTGCCCACATTAATTCTTATATTAGATGCATTTATCTCTATCCCTCTGAAGCTGTTTGATTGTCTGAACCAAGAGTGGCTTTCATTTCGAGCGCTAAGAGCTGAGTGGCTTGAGTAGCTGCATTGCACAACACTGCACATGGTGCCCTGGCGATTGTCTAGTGTGAACCAAAATAAGCATACACACTGGTCCTGGGACACGGGTCCCCGACAAAGTCCTCTCTGTAAATGAATGACTTCCTTTTCTGCAAAGGGACTCAACTGAATGGCATTTGCCAGCTTTTTCTGTCCATTGTCTATCCATGCCTACTCGGTGGTAGTTAGATTTTCTCAAGCTCCACCGAGGAACTTTGGTTTTAGAAGAAGAACACAGACATCATTCCCTGTGGGGAATTATGCAGAGGTACACTGCATCTGGGATATTTGTTCATTTTTTTCAGAGGTGGACTATGCGTGGGTCACAGATCAGTGGCCATCCAGAGGGGTTATTCCCTGCCCAGGTAGCTGGGGTGCTCTGATGTGGGAGTACAGTACCTAGTCTCCCCTGACTTGGTGTTAAGAGAGGATTTGATGAAAGTGCAGTGTTAAAAAGTAAAGCTGAGTCACATTTGGATCTGGAATGCCTCACCCAGGCTTTCATCTGTATGAACTATGAAAGTAAAGTGCTGATCTTTAAGCTGAGTGTGAGCACTTTTTTTTCTCCATAGAGAGCAGTTAGAATCCTTCTGTTAAGTGTCTTTATGTTGTTTCATATATTGGGGATGTGGGACATAAACTTGCAAATCCCAGAGTGTAGCTTTCATGACAGAGGGAAGAGCAAGTACAAAGGTCTTGAGATAAGGGCATCCTTGATATGATTCAAAGAACAGTGAGTTTAAGGGTGGCTGGAGAGAAAAAAATTGAGAATGATGAGAAACATGGTTGAGGGCTGGAGGGGAAAGATCATGTAGGGTCTTGTCAACCAGCAGAAGGACTTTGGATTTTACTCTCAACGAGAAGGGAGGGATTGAGCAGAGAAGTGGCAGCAATGGGGCTCTTTGATGAGAAAATGCTGTTGAAGAACAAGGGGAGAGACAGAGAAACTTGATAGGAGGCTGTTGTCGTGATGCAGACAGAGTGGGAAATGGGTTGGCCAGCGTTGTCATAATGGAGATGGTGACAAGTAACTGGGTTGTGGGCACATTTGAAGGTAGCTATGCTAGGATTTGTGGATGGGATGGATGTGTGGGGTGGGAGAAGTGGAGTCAAAGAAGACTCCAAGGCTTTTTGACCGAGGTTACCTCCATTTACTTCAAGGGGTGGAGGGAAGAAGGAAATGAGGTTTCTGTGTTACTAAAAAATATTTTTTTTTAAATATTAAGTGTGTGATGTCTCTCAGTTCAACAGTCGCCTGAAACATGAATGTGTTCTTTAACAACATCAACTGGTCTATGCTCACATTTTGTAACTGGAGACTTCACACTCTCTCCTCAAGAGGGCCGATTGATTGTAGGACAGCATTTATTGTTAGAAGATTTTTTCCTGGTATGGAATGAAGAGTTCTGTTTAACTTTCACTCGTGGACCTTGGTTGCACTTTTTTTTCCCCCAGTTAAAAACAATTGGTTTTTTCCTTTGGCTGTAAGGAGGTAGAGATGTTAGCTTTTCTTAACCCACTGTTTCCACATCTGGAAAAGAAGGGAGGATTGTGTCATGTAATTCCTAGGTTTTAACCACATTGTATTATTTTCCTTATAAGCCTTTTCTTCTCTAGGATGCCAACCGTGTCCATGCCAAACTCTTTATGTAGGTCATTTCATTTAATCCTCATGATGTCTTCTAAGACCTTGCTGCTCCAAGTGTTCATCTGTGGACCAGCAGCATCAGCATCATCTGGGAGCTTATGAGAAACACAGACTCTCAGGCCCCACCCAGACCTACTGCACATGAATCTGTGTATTAACAGGATCCTCAGATGATTTATAGGCACATTCAAATTTGAGAAGTATGGCTAAAAGAGATTGGTATTTATGAATAAACTGAAGCTCAGAGCTAAACTAGCAGCAAGGCCATGGGTTCCATTTGGAAAGGGTTGAGTCTAAGTCAAAGTAGCTTCTTAGGTAAACACATTACATGTACTAAGAATCTGAGAGTTATTGTCAATGAAAATTTCCTAGGTCTTTTTTCATAAGAGCCCCCTTCAGACCTCCTTTGTCTATTGCGTTCTTCTATAAAGGATTTAGTCTCTTACTGTAGGTTAAATTCTACGCAGTTGTAAAGATTCAGCTTAATTTTTAGGTTTTATGTTGACATTCCAGCTTTGTGTTTCTAGAGATTTTTCTTCATTTTGTGGTCAGGGTGTGAAGAAGAGCCTTATGGCTCATCATTAGTGACTTCTCTTTTCAAGTGGACATTGACCTTCTCAGGAAAAGTTCTTTCTAAACAAATGGTTTTCAACCTTGGCTGCACATTAGCAACATTTCGGGAGCAAACAAATAAAACAAACAA